TACATATCTCTAATTATAACTGCTTTCCTCTTTCCTAGAGGTAGCCACTGTCCTGACTTTTACGATAATTAGTTCTTTGTTTTTCTTCATATTTTATTATCTATGTGTGCGTATGTAAGCAATATAGTTTAGTATGTCCATTTATGTAGTTTGATTTGTTCATTTATATATACATTCTCTTCGTATTCTTTTGTGTTTTACTTCTTTCATTCAATATACATTTTTAAGATCGATCTATATTGTTATGTGTAGCTCTAATCTGTGCTTTTTAATACTATATAATGTTCCAGTGTATGAACATACCACACCACACTTTATTTACCCATTGTACTATTAATGGACATTTGGAGTCTTTCTAGTTTTTGGCTACTAAAACAATGCTGCTCTAAGCGTTCTTATACAGCATTCTTAAACATACATAGTACATCAGGAACATATATATAGAGGGTGCCAAAAAATGTATACACATTTTACTATATTAAAATTATGCTGATGGTAACCACTTTGAGCACCTCTTGTAACTGCAGAAGTCAAACTTGACTCGTATTTATCTTTTGTTATCGGTGTATATTGAGTATTACAATTTTAATACAGTTTTTTCCTTTCTTAAAATGTGTATACATTTTTCTTGCACCCTCTGTATATATATTCCTGATGTACTATGTATGTGCATATTTTACTTTGCAAATATTTTCTCTCAGCCTGTGGCTTGTCCTCTCATTCTCTTGATAAAAGTCTCAGAGCAGGCTTTTAATTTTAATGAAGTCCAACTTATCAATTATTTCTTTCATGGATTGCACTTTTGGTGTTGTATCTAAAAAAGTCACCACCAGACCCAAGATCATCCAGAGTTCCCAAGGAGATTATAGGAATGACTTCTCCTGGAATTTCCCCTGGTCATAAATTCTCCAGGTTCACACAAATTCATGACCCTGAAGGTGGGTGCCTTCTAGGTGTCATCCCAGGCTCTACCTTACCCAGGTCAGTAATGGTAGGCTAGTGATGTCCTCATCTGGAAGATAAGGGAAAAGGAGGCGGTCTCCTAAGAAGCCAAATGGTTCTATGTGATTCAACTTCTTATTCCCAGGAATGTTGAAACACTTTCAAGGCTGGTAATCCTCGGGGAACTGCCTCCTGAGGCCCAGCCCCCTTCAAACCTGCTTGATAACCCGACCTCCATCTTCACCTCCTGGCTCAACAGTCTTCCCCCTTCCATCAAGAGCATAGTCGTTAACCATGTGCCTGAGTGCAACTTAGAGAAGCAGTTTTTGAAGGTCAGTAAAAATAGGTGAGCTGGGCCTAGGGTCCCTCAAAGCCTTCTGTAAAACAAATTTCAGCTTTTATTAGCACCAGAAAAAAGTCTAAGAAGCACCAGAATAACCTGCAGCCCTGGTGATGCAAAGAACTATAGCTCGCAGAATGCCCTTCGGTGGATAATGCTAGGTGGATTGGTTTTCCATGACAGAGGCTCAGCTTAGAGATCTGATTTTCTCAGTGACCCAGGGCTTTTAGGGGAGTTTTCCAGGGAAAGTAGAATGTATCTTTGTATTTTTGTTGTTGTTGTTAAGTTCAAGGACACTTTAATTCCTGCCTTTTCTCCCCTTAACAGATTAAGGAGGGTACAAGCTTTGTATTCCTGTCCTTCATTGAAGCCATGTCATTCATTCCTGCGTCTGTCTCATGGTCCATCCTCTTCTTCCTGATGTTGCTCATGCTAGGGCTGAGCCTCATGATAGGGACCTTGCAGGGCATCATTACTCCACTCCAGGACACCTTTTCTTCCTTCAGGAAACATCCAAAGCTGCTTACAGGTACTCCGATCTATGGCCTACTCCCATCAATTACCCTGATTTCACTGAGACTGTAGTCCAGCCCTGGTCTATGATCTCTGCTTAGCCCTTTTCACCCTGCCAGACCTCCAACCTTGATCCAGATCCAATGTTTCCTCCAGTGGTTGTCTCTGTGCTCATGTTCCTGTGTGGCCTCTTCTTCATTCGACCTTCAGGCCTCTACTACATAAGACTGCTGAATCAGTACTGGGTGGTCCTACCCATAATCCTCATCATCACACTTGAAAACATGGCTGTGGGCTGGGCCTATGGGGCCAAGAGGTGATCGCTTGGGTCTGTAGGGAAGGCTGACCCCTTTGTTGTTGGCTTAGTTCTCATTCAGCTAGAGTGACATAGGGACCCTTAACTTCAGGGCCTTCTGAGAAACCTTTTTATTTATTCATTTATTTAACCTATTTATTGAGTGCTTAATAAGTGCCAGGCACTCTTTTAGTCATCGGGGATACAGCATTGAATAAAATAACCATCCCTCTCCTCCATCACTTACATTCTAGTGGTAGAGAGAGACACTAACCAAGTGAACAATATGTCAGGTGGTGATAATGGACAGGAGAAAATGAAAGGGTAAAGTAAGATGCTCAAGAGTGGGAGTATGGGGCCAGCCGAGTGGCTCAGTTGGCTAAGAGCTCGCTCAAGAGTGCGAACTCTGAGCAATAGTGGTTCGAGTCCCGGTCTGAGCTGAGCTGCCGCTGAGCTGCCAACAGGTAGCAGGATGGCTCAGCTGAAAAAAAAAGAGTGGGAGTATGTACGGGTGCTAATTTAGATAGAATTGCAGGGAAGGCTTCTCTGATACAAAGTGTGACATTTTAACAAACCCCTGAATGAAATGAGGAAAGGAGCCATGACAAAGTTCTGAGAAAGTATGTTCCAAGCGGAGGAGACAGTAAGTACCAAGACAAGAGGAAACATCCTGCCTGGAGTTTTTGAGGAACAAGGAGATCAGTGAGGTGGGAATAGAATGTTAAGGGATGAGGCCAGAGAGGTAACAGGAGAACAGAGAGGGCCTTCTAAGCCATAGTAAGACTTAGTTTTTTGTGCAGGATTATAGAAGAGGCATTGGAGGGTTTTGAGTAAGGGTGACATACTCAGATTTTTTTTTTNCCACTCGGCCATCCCAAGTATTACAATTTTTAATACAGTTTTTCCTTTCTTAAAATATATATACATTTTTTTTGGCACCCTCTGTATTTTGTAGAATTTATTAGTGAACCCATCTGGGCCTGGTGCTTTCTGTTTTCGAAGGTTATTAATTATTTATTCAATTTCCTTGATAGAGACAGGCCTATTCAGAGTACCTATTTCTTCTTGTGTGAGTTTTGGAAGATTGTGTCTTTCAAGGAATTGGTTAATTTCATCTAGGTTATCAAATCTGTGGGCATAGAGTTGTTCATAGTATTCTTTTATTATCCTTTTTTTAAGGTCCATGGGCTCTGTAAGTGATAGCCCCTTTTCATGTCTGATTTTAGTAATTTGTGTCCTCTTTCTTTTTTTCTTAGTTATCCTGGCTAGAGGCGTATCAATTTTATTGATCTTTTCAAAGAGTCAGCTTTTAATTTAGTTGATTTTCTCTATTGATTTCCTGTCTTTTTTTTTTTAAGATTTTTATTAGGGAATTGGGGAAGGGGAACAGTGTTTGGGAATTGGGGGAGGAGAACAACCAAGTTGTTGTCCTTCAATCTTAGTTGCAGGTGGGCGTAGCCCACCATTCCATGTGGGAGTCGAACTGGTAACCTTGTTGTTAGGAGCATGTACTTTCACCAGCTGAGCCATCCTGCCACCTGTTGGCAGGTCAGCAGCAGCTCAGCTCAGACACAGCTCACTGGCCCATGTGGGAATTGAACCAGCGACCCTGTTGCTCAGAGCTTGTGCTCTTAACCAACTGGGCCCTGATTTTCCTGTCTTCAATCTCTGTTCTAATTCTTTGTTATTCTTCCCTTTTGTTTACTTTGAATTTAATTTTCTATTCTTCAGTTTCCTAAGATAAAAACTTAGAGTATTGATTTTAAATCTTTCTTCTTTTTTTAATATATGCATTCAATGCTATAAATTTCCTTCTAAGTACTGCTTTCATTGCATCCCACAAATTTTGGTAAGTCATGTTTTATTTTGATTTAGTTCAAAATATTTTCAGATTTTTCTTGAGATTTTTTTCTTTGACCCATCTGTTATTTATAAGTGTTTTGTTTAATCTTCACATATTTTGGATTTTCCAGTTATCTTTCTGTTCCTGATTTTTAGTTTAATTCTATTGTAAACTGAGAGCAGACATTGTATGACTTCTAGTCTTTTAAAGTTGTTAAGATGTTTTATGACTCAGGATGTGGTTCATAATGGTAAATGAACTTGAGAAACATGTGTACTCTGCTGTTATTAGAAGAAGCAGTCTGTAAATGTCAGTTATATCCAGTTGATTGATGATGTTGAATTCGACTATATCCTTACTGATTTTCTGCCTGCTGATTTTCAGTCTTTGTTGTCTTTACTTTTCAGTTTGGGAGGTTTCTATTGAGATATCCTCAAGCTCTTCCTCAGCCATGTCCAATCTACTAATAAGCCCATCAAAGGTATTCTTCATTTCTGTTACAGTTTTTTTTTTTTAATCTCTATCAGTTCTTTGGTTCTTTCTTAGGATTTCCATCTTTCTGTCAACATTGCCTATCTTACATGCTACCTACTTTATCCATTAGAGCCCTTAGCATATTAATCATAGTTGTTTCAATTTCCCAGTCATATAATTCCAACATCCCTACTGTGTCTGATTCTGATGTTTACTCTGTCTCTTCAATTTGTGTTTTTTGCCTTTTGGTACGTGAAAAGGGTTCTCAGACCCAATTCCAGTGTGTGTGTGNGGGAACAGACAAGTTGCTGTCCTTTTGTTCTTCAGTCTAATTGTGGAGGACGTTGCCTCACTGCCCCAAGTTGGTACCATCATTGCGCTCTTCCCTGGTGAGGCAAATCAGTCGCTGGCTTCTGGATGGCCGCTCACCGGGGCTGCTGGCCACTCACACTGGCTGCTGGCTACACACGGTAGCCCATGGCAACCCACTGCAGCAGGGGCTGCAGCCTACGCCGTCGACACACGGCAGCCCAGCTCCAGGTTGAGCTGTTGTTCAGCATCTTAGCTGTAGAGAGCAGTGTCACTGGTCCTCATATGTGGGATCCGAACTGTGGCCCTCATGCATCCCAAGCCAGTTCTTAACCAACGCGCCACTCGGCCGGCCCCTCAGATTTATTTTTTAAAAAGCACCTATGACTGCTGTGTGGAGAAGAGACTATAAGGAGTCCAGAGTGAAGCAAGGAGAACATTTGGGAGCTATTGTAATATTTCAAATGGGAGCTAACAGTGTCTTGGGCTGGGGGGCAGAGGTGTAGGTTGCGAGACATGGTTTAATTCTGCAAGAAAGAGCTGCCAGGGAAGAGGGAACAAGATAATCAGGGCCTGGGACCTAATAGACATCACTATGGAATGGGAGAGTGGGCGAATCCAAGTCACATACAAGGGCACAACTTTTTACCAGGATGCTAGGGGGACATCCAAGTGGTATAATTCAAGGACAGAAGGCTCAAGTGGCAGCATTTTCAGGTCACAGTGGTTCTGGGAGTCAGTTCAGTCATGTATTAACTCCACAAATATTCCAGGGGATTTTCTCTGTGTTGGGAAAGCCTTGTGGTACTGGTATACAAATGAATGAGAATTAGCTCCTCTTCTCAAAGAATCTAAATTGGAAGGTGTATATAAGCAGACAATCCCAGTTCAAGGTGGTAAGTCTATAGCAGAGGTAGCTGGCGGCACTCTAGGGGCACCTGGAAAGTGTGGCCTACAGGAGAGGGTGATTGGGCAGAATCTGGACAGATGGATGGGTAGGCACACAGAAAGAGCAGTATTCTAGGCCAAAGGACCCCACTTGTATATGTATTGAGATTGAGAACATGCACTAAAAGAGGCTGGATACATGGGCTGGGAGAAACCAAGAAAAGTTCAGTTCTCTGAGGATCAAGTGTTAATTTTTGGGGGTCTGTTTGTTCACTATGAATACCCAGCACCTAGAAAAGTCCCTGGCACATCATAAACACTCTCATGTTTATGGAATGAATGAAAGGAACTTGGCCTTTATTCTGAGGGCACTGGGTAGTCATGAAAGGTTTGAGGGCAGTAGAGGAATGTTTGAAAGTTTTTCTAGGGTTAGGATGGAAGACTGACTAGGGAGAAGAGAAGAAGAAAGGACAAGGCTTGAGCTGAGGCAGGGGTTTGGAAATGAGGTAGAATATTTGAAAGACACTAAGGTCAGGCTGGCCTTGCCCCCCAAGGAAGAGAAGGAACATCTGGGCCTACCATAGTCTCGTGGCCTTTTCTTCCAGGCTCCTTGCAGACTTGAGGATTCTGTGTAACCATCCCGTCCATCCCATCTTTCGCTGGTTGTGGTGCTATCTGTCTCCAGTTGTGCTGCTAGTCCTATTTGCAGCCACTCTGTTACTTCTGACTCTGAAGACCCTGACCTATGTGGCCTGGGACTCAAGCAGTGTGAGCTTCCCTCTCCAGACCCCAGACCTTTCTAGGGAGGGGGGCCAGACCTGTCAATCCACTCTTGGCCTAAAGACCCTGTCATCTCATTCTCTGTTCCCCAAAAGACTCATTTAGTCCTCTGCCCTGGTATCCCTCCCACTCTTCCCTTCCACAATCTTTCCTCTTCTGGGAGCTTCAATGTTCTGAACCCCTTTCCCATCTCTCCACAGTCAAAAGAGGTGCTTCGACAATACCCACCATGGGCGCATATCCTGCTGATTGTCCTGTCTCTCATTGCCATCCTCCCCATCCCCACATACTTTGTGTACTGCCTCACCCATGGCATTCCCTTCAAATCCTCGAGTTTGAATCAGTCTATCATATCCTCCACATCTTTATCCCTAAGTATGCATCTAATGCCCATTAAAGAGGTCCAAAAGGAGGAAATCCTGCAAGGTGATAATCAAATTTCTGATTAACCTGTTGTGTGGCTTCCTAACATCATTCACGTGGCCTGACATCACACATCCCTCAAAACAGCTCTACCAAGCAACTCTTTGATACCGACTTGCAACTGTTGATGTCCTTGGACCCAGAACTCCTTTTATTCCCAAGGGTAGCAGCATTATTTGGGGCGCTCTTGGGGCCTGGCTTGGCATCCTCCTTCCTAGGCCCCTCTGGTTGCCACCATCATTGGATTTTCCCCATCCCCTTCCTCATATACATTCATCGTCAGTGATGCCAACCAAACCTGCCTCTTAACTGGTCTGCCCAGCTCCTGGAATGGAGCTGGAGGAGTAATTCTGTTGTTAATAAATCAATTCACTGGGACTACAAGCACCGGGTGTGAGCAGTTCTGTTTTTATTTGCTATAAATGTCTCCGATGTTCAGTCTTCCCCTCAGGAATCTGCCATTCTTTTTTTTTTTTTTTTTTTTTTTTTTTTTTTTTTTTTTTTTTTTTATAGCTGAGCCACCCTGCCACCTGTTGGCAGCTCAGCTCGGGCTGGGAATCAAACCAGGAACCCTGTTGCTCAGAGCTCACACTCTTGAGCGAGCGCTTAACCAACTGAGCCACTCGGCTGGCCCGGGAATCTTCCATTCTTTTGAGAGCTAAACATCCAGTCCTGAGTTCCTGCCCTCTCTTTGTGATGGCAAATTCAGATGCTAGATTACTAGATTTGCTTTATCCAGGAACTGGCCTTCAGCCAAGAAAACCTCAGGAAACGGTGGCTTCAACAAAGATGGGAAGGATATTAATGTGCTTGCTAATGGGATATAGTAATCCTATCATGGGCCTAAACATTATTGTTAAAAGGGTTTCCAAGACTGTTGTGGACTAATTGATCCATGTAGACTAAATGATCAGTGAACTAACACACAAGCAGGTTGGGGAACTACCAAATTGTATTACTGAGTCCACCAAGATCCCATATCTACTTGGTAAGAGACATCCTTTTACCACAGGGCTAAATCAAATGAATTTGCCTAGTGGGTGAAAACTGAGTGGGTCTCTCTGAACTCGTGGGAGGGGTGACTCCACAACTGTGTTGAAGTACTTTCAAAAATGAGATGGAGTTAGTCAGCGACTGGGGATGGGGCCTGTGGGTAGAGGTGGTTGGGATTCCAGAAGATCCAGGGAATGGGTTTCGTTTCAATGCTCTGAGATCCCAGGATTTCCGATTGCTTAGCTCCCACAGGGAGGCTGCCTCTGCGTAAGTTTGGGACCAGATAAAACAGACATCACCAACCATTCGTTGGTGGGTAGGACTCTAGGGGTGGGTGTGGTGAGTGGAAAGAGCAGAGATCACGGAAGTCCCTGGACGTCTGAAGTTTCACGCTCCTCAAGCTCAAGGATCCGAGGCCTGGAGGCGCTGTGAGCCTCCGTGTCATCGCCCATTAGCTCCTGTACCTTGTAGCCCCGCCCCTCACGCTCACACACGCCCCCGCCCCCACCCCCGCGCCCTATCCAAACGATCGTCGCTTGAAGACCGGTGCTATTGAGTCAGGTAAGATGGGAATCTGGGAGAGGAGGCAGTCCCTTTCTCCTGATGAAATAGCCTGAGTTTTCAACCTTCTTCCTTTTGGGAACCTAGGTGCTCATCCTCCTTTCTGCTCCCCACCTCCAGTTCCATCTTTGGGAGTAGAACCTGTGGGAGAGGTATTGAAAAGTAGTGGGTTACCGGATAAACCGGTGGGAGTGGAAGGAAGATCTTGGTGTGTCCCCTCCTCCTACTCCACATTTTTCTCTCCTCAGGCCACTTGTTGAAAGTCCGTTGGCACCTAACGGCAGGGTTATTTGAATTGGAAATATCTCACTTTGCTGTAGGGGTACTGATTGGAGTGGAAGACTGGTTTCTGTCGTAGGTACTTCTCTACATAGCTCTGGGGGTCCTTATAGTCAGTCAGGTTTCATGGCACCCTTGTGTGTGATGAGCGGGTTTTGTTTTGGGAATCTCTGGCCTTGTTAGACAAAAAGGAGCCCCGTTCCTTGGTAAGGTACCTTACACATGTCTTCATTTTTATCCCTCACAAGAACGGTAGGCGATGCAGGTATTGTCATCCTCAGTCTTCACCAGGAGACTCCGAAAAAAGAGGGGTTCACACAGTGAATGAAGGGTAGAGCCTGACAGAGATTCCTGTCTTGTGGCTTCTGACCCTTTTTATTTTGGAAATTTTCAATGACATACAAAAGAATAACAATGAATTACTTTGTATTCATCACCCATCTTCAGTAATGACCAACTTGTGACCAGTCTGGTTTCATCTCTCACCCCACTGTAAGCCTCTCCATTATTTTGAAACAAATCCCCAATGTATCATTTCATCTGTAAATATGTCAGTACCTGTCTCTAAAAAATAACCCTTAAAAAAAACCCTGACAAAACATCACACCTGAAACAAATAACAGTAATCCAGTAATATCATCAAATATTCAGTCAGCATTCAGATTTTCCTGGTTGTCTCTCTTTTTATTTTTTCTGGTAGATTTATCTTTTTAAACAGCTTTATTGAGGTATAATTCACATACCACACAATTCACCCATTTAAGTGTACAATTCAGTGGTTTTAAGTATATCATAGAGTTGTGCATCTATAACCACAATTTTAGTACATTTTCATTATCCCCAGAAGAAACTCCACACCCCTTAGCCATCACCCCAACTGCCACATCCCCCAACCCCAGCCTTAGACAATTATAGTCTACTTTTTGTTCTATAGATTTTCCTACTCTGGACACTTCATGTAAATGAAATAATACAATATGTGTAGTTCTTTGTGACTGGCTTCTTTCACATGACATAATGTTTTCAAGATTCACCCCTGTGTAGCACATATCAGTACTTAATTCTATTTATTGCTAAATAACATTCTCTTGTATAGATATACCTTGTTGTATTTATTCAATTATCAGTTGATGGGCATTTTAGGTTGTTCCTACTTTGGGGCTATTATTAATAATACTGTTTTGAATATTCATGTAAAAGTTTTTTGGGTAGACGTACATGTTCTTATTTCTCTTAACATAGCCTTAGGAGTAGAATTGCTGGATCACATGCTAACTCTATGTTTAACTATTTGAGAGACTGCCTCATAATTTTTAAAGTTTGTTTAAATCATCATCCAAATAAAATTCATGTGTTGCAAGTTGTTGCTATATCTCTTAAGAATCTTTTAATCTACATATACAGGTCTCCCTCCCTCTTTTTTTCCCCCTTGCAATGTATTTGTTGATAAAACTGGGTTATTTGTCCTGTGGAGTTTCCAACAATTTGAAGTTTGTTGCTTGCCTCTCCGTGGTGTCATTTAATATATCCTTCTGTCCCCTGTATTTCTTATAAATTGGTAGTTAGGTCGAGAAGCTGATTAGTTTTAGGTTCAATATTCAGAGAAGAATACTTCATGAATGGTTTTATGTATCTATCAGGAGGCAAAAAAAAAGTTCTGGATGTCTCTTTTTTTGTAATGCTAGCCATTGGTGATCATTGTCTAGGTCCATATGTTCAATAGAGATTATAAAATGGCAGTATTCCTTTTTTTATTAGCTGGAATAGTTTCAAAAAGAGCCATGGGTGATTTGACTCCAACATAACCTCTCCTAAGCCTCTTCATATCCTATTCCAGAAGCCAGCCTTCTTAGATAGCGTACCTTCTAATGAGTGTAAACTGAGCTCTCTTCCATGGTGTCTATTTGACCTATAAGAAATTCAGTCATCCTCGTCAACACAACCCTGGTCAAGAAATAGACATCAGCAGCATCCCATAAGGCCTCATTTGCCCACCCCCAGCACCACTACTTCCCTCCTCTCTAGAGGTAATCACTATCCTGACTTTAAGGTAATCACTGCCTTGCTTCTTGATAGTTTTACAACCTACGAGGTGTGATCAAACAATACGGTGAGTGTTTAAATAAAAAAATTATTACAGTAAAGGACACATTGCCATTAATCCCCCTCAAAATACTCCCCCTCGCTTCGAACACACTTATCCCATCATTCTTGCCACTTTCTGAAGCAGCTCTGGAAGTCCTCTTTTGTGAGTGTCTTTAGTTATACTGTCATTGCTGCCTCCATGTCCTGAATCATTTTAACTTTGGGAAGAACCAGAAGTCACAGGGTGCCAGATTCGGTGAATAAGGACACACCGTAATTTTTTTTTTTTTTTTTTT